AAGGTCATGTCAAGTGGAAGACGCCTGCATGTCGCCAGTCATAGCAGTTAAGTGCAGAGGAGAATGTTTGCAGATACATAACTGTAAATCCCCCCCCCCCCAACCCTTAGAAATCTTAGAAATTCTCTCTTTCTGTACTTAGTTTGCGATGCAGGTCTCCATAAGGGCCCCCATCAGAATACCCCCTCCAGCTGTAGATAATACCATGGAAAAGCCCACAAACATGAGGAATTAAGCCCATAGGAGCAAGGCATGCTGGGTAACCAAAGGCAAAAAGAATGAAGACAGATCTGCAAAAGCTATTAAACTCTAAAGTCTGAAAGTTCCCCCCATTTCCCTTATGAATGGATAGATTTAGGCCGTAGATCGACAGATGCAGGCATGATGTGAGTAAGATGGTTATATATCTCCATCTATACGATTCTCTGCCTTTTCCTACTAGCCAAATAAGAATCTGAACATTTGTTAACCATTATGGGCCTCTGCTTTGCAGAATCAGCTCCCTGGTAAACAAATAATGATAAGCCTGTTTCAAACAAACAGGAGCTCGGCTGATTTGAACTCATACAAGCCAAAGACACAGAAGCACCCCCCCCCCCCCACAGTTTGGATCTCTTCTCCAACACTCCCCTCAATCATCCCAGATGACACTCTACTGAAAAGCTCTAACACGACGGTTAAACTAACAAGGCCAGCTGGCTTTAATCGTAAACCCAGACCTGGTGATCACTCACTGTGACTGTCTGCACATACGTGTTATATGCTACAGATTTATGGTGCAGAGTAACATTTCTGTACATTAGGTTGCAGGTTCAAGGCCTGGTGGGCTCTCATTGGCTTCAATAAATCAGGTACTTCCATAAATGGGCAAAATAGTAAATTTTTGATTGTACAATTAATGTAAAAGGAATGATGGATATTGTTCATATCAGTAATCATAAAAAAACTGAAAACTGCAGCAAGTGCATACATGAATATCAAATAGCCTACGTCCCCATTAGTTGGTCCTTTAGTAAACAAACAAAAGATTAAATTAGTATTGGATATAGTTCACATTAATCAATTCTACATTGTTATATAATGACTGAAGGATACGGCTGGTCCACAAACAGCACTTTGTGCTTAGTGTTATATCAGTCTTCTGGTTCACTATTCCACCAGCCCAGTCACAGCAATTCCATTAAAATCCAGGGTGCAGATGGGGCCGCCAGAAGCAGGGTCAGGACAGTAAGGCCTCCTGCACCCGTCAGCCGGCCTTGGGACACCTTCTGTAAGACGTGCAGCTCTTGTGAAAAGGGGATGTGCCAGATGGCAGACACTGGCTGACTTTTGAGGACACTGAGTCATTGAGGTTATTGCCAAGCCGTGTGACCTTGCTTATGTTTGTTTATCGAAGCCAGTGCTTTAGCTAGAGTCTCGTCTCCAGGATGTGATCTCCTGATCGTCTCTGACTTCCTCTCTACTCTCTGCCCATTTCTTAATACCAAGAATGCAGAGATCGTACTTGTGGTCTAACTTGCCTCCTACGAACAAGCTTGGGGCGCAATTAATCATGGGATTGGTCTCACTTGGCGAGGGTGCAACCAATGTATCCTTGATATTTGGGGAGGGGCAAGAATGACATCTGGGGATCTTTACTACCCTCTGTACTTGTGATCTTAGTATTGGAACTGATCTTCAGCAATGGAAGATGACGTAAAATGGGTATAAGATAGTATGTTCAAGTACGGATATTGAGAAACACCCTCTGTGTCATTCCAGGGTCGCTGCGTCAGCTTCAGTCGTGTGAGGTCCAACCCACCCCCAAGGTACCCACACTACAACCAGCGACCCAACCCCATCTACAGCGTGCCCTACAGCAACGGCCACCCGGCCCCACGGGGCACGCTGCCCCCAGATCCCTGCGGATACAACCCATCTCCTCCGGCTTCCCCCACCTCCACACTGCCGCCCCTGCCTACCACGCCCCCACCATCCACCATCACCCCTCCTGCACCCAACCGAGCTCTCCCCCCACCCTCACCAACTGGCACTTTGCCCCCACCCCCACAGGCCCCTCCTCCAGCCCGGGCTCCACCCCCTGACCGCCCACCACCCCGCCCCTCTCCTTAGGGGCTCATTCCTGACTCGGTGGGACAAGGGCTGTGGCTTCAGTACATGGAAATTAGCCAATGAAATGAAAGCAAATTCTAAAAGCATGCTAGATTGAATGCTGCCAGCTGTACGTTTATACGACGGATCTCTGCCTACATGAAAAAGTGCCCACCTTCAGAACGAAAGCAGTGGTTAGATAAAGAAGCTGAAAACATGGTCTGCTTGCTCTGTCTGGACAGCCCTGAGAAAGACACACTGTCACACCTGGCCTCCCCCTGACTCGTATCCCAGCATCCTCCTGGGCCCACAGAGACTAATGGACACCAGTGTCCTCCACCTTTCTGCGTGTCCCCCAAACGGTGGGAAACTGTAATGTTTCTCTAAAGTAAAAGCAGGATGCTCCTATATGGCATATCCACTGAGTGATTCAAGCTTGTTTCTGGCAAGTCTCCGAATCCCACTTACTTAAGTCTAAAAGGAAATATACAGGAAGGTCAAAGAACAACAAAAAGCAAAAAAAAACAAACAAAAAAAACAGATGGGTAGAGGAGCAATGAGCTTGGGAAATAGAGCCGAAGGTTTGATAGGTGATCAGGTGGTCAAACACCGGTGGTGAAGTCTGCTTGAGAGCAGACTTGGGCTTATTTTTGCTCTTGCGAAAAGAAAGCTAATTTTTGTAAGACTACTGTAGGCTCTGGAACCTGCCTATCAGTGTCACTCTGTGCTGTGAGCCAATCATAATGGATATTACAGCCAAGAGGGTGGGACTTCTTGTCACCAGGGCACAGATTCTATGGTGCAGCACAGAACCGCTGAAAGGCATTCTGGGAAGGTGGTACTGGATGGACTATGGCCACCTGTGAGGCTGGATCCACTAAGCTGCTGAAGTAGAGACTAACTCAGGGTGACACGAAAATAAAGACCAAGATGAAGTTTGATGAAGATGTCTAAAGGACTTTCTCTCAGCAGTTGTTAGTCAGTCATGACAATGTTTTTACAAAGACTGTCATTCATTCAGTCACCTGCCATTAAATATATAATATAATACAGATACAACAACACATATATAAGCCAAAGCGCCTTACACACACCATCTGTGTGTCTGTGGGGACTTCCTTTTTAACTGCTAGCGAAGCCAACAAAATGAATATTTATTTTAAAATAGGCACCTTCAGTTTTTTTAAGCAAGTGATAAAGTGGTAAACTTTATCAGGATGATCCTATACCTGTTTTCACAGTTTTTGTAAGAACATTTTGTCTCAGAGTTTTTTTCTCACAAAAGCCAAACACACATACACATTGTGCATATACTTTAAAATTTCCCTGCATTGCTTGTTTTTTTTGCCTAAGAGATAAGGCATTTTGCATGTATGGCTCTGAATTCCATGAGCTTTTGGTGTGATAGGTACGTGTCTTTTCTCCACCTGTATATAATTTTGCTTCACAATCTTCCACTATGTATGCCACAAATTATTTTCTTTTGCACAAAGATTATTTCTGTTTGGGTATCAATGAGTTATTGAATCATTTGGTAACGTGTGGCAGAATCCAGAAATATCTGATGGATAGGCGGTAGGTAAATGCTTTATGCTAGAAAGCCCTGGAGAATTTAGCTACCTAAGGGGGGTTGGTGGTATTAAAGCTTGGTCTCTCCTGGAGACGGAAATGCCTTTATGTAGCATCTTTCAGCTTCTTTCAGTAGATCAATGCAGACCCTGGGAAGGTGGCTACCTGGAGACCTGAATAATTCACATCAGTCCTGCTCTTTTACACCCTTACGCCCCCGTAGTGCATTATTCCATCTACACAATGACCCGAGCCATGACAGCGAACATCCAACCTCAAATGTTCGATCCAATAACTGGACTAACTTGAATAAACAAATATCAGCCGCAATAACATGGAAATGTCCTGTTCCTTAGGTTTTACTTTAATACAGCATGTGTGTGTTTCTTTAAAATCCTGACATCCAAAGTGGCACTCAAAGCGCCAACATGCAAACAGCATTTACTTACTGTAACTAAGCCTTGATGATATAGTTGTGGCCTCTTTAGTCTCTACAGATCTACAGTATCTTACAGGAGTCTTTTCTAACCTTTTCTCACTTTTCATTAGGTAACTATCCCAGGGCTCACCACTGATTAACACACATTGGCTCTTACCAATAACACGTGTCACATTTTTCTTAACCTGCTGGTTCAGGATTGAGTACATTTTATTCAAAAATGTATCTATGCTCTTGTGTTTTTTCTACAGTGCAGTATGTCAAACATAATGTACACAAATGGGTGTCAGTTGTAGGGCGGTCTTATTCTGATGATCTGATTGGCTAACTGACTACCAGAACAAAAAGAACAACCTTTTCTCTATTTCAGTCCCCATCCCCAATTAAGTGCCAGCCCCTAACAACCCACCCAGCTGTACGACTGGCAGCTGTACATGCTCCCTTAGATTTGAGGGACATATGTATATCGTCTCCACTGTAATCCATTGGAAAGCTGACCTTAATCGACTGTTAAACTACCAGCAACCCAGCCACGGAGTCATCAGCATTTGCCAGCCGCAAATCAACCATGACATTGTCTGCAGGTCGTTTGCTGGATCAGCAATGAGAAGACTCGCAATATACCAGGTCAGCAGGTTTGTCACTGCGCTTTCGGCAAACCAGTATATTTATGGAATGGGTGAGGAACCCTGACTCCCCCCCCCCCCAAAAAAAAAATTATACAGAAATAAAGAGCTGAGGAGTGCTTGAGGATCCAGGGTCCAGGATTCCAGGCACCTACGCCTGTGCTGTAACTGTGACGTTGATATGGACGTCTCCATCGCTGCTTCGTGGCCCTCCGGGGGAGTCAGGAACCAATGGAGGCCTGAAACCTTGGAAATGTGGGCATGGAAAGCAGCAAGGCAGTTTGGAATGCATTGTGAAGTATGTTGAGGCAACCATGTTGGGAAAAACGATATGTGAAAATAAATTAATTTTAATTTGACAGAGGATCACAGGGTGTGTAGCACTGTTGCCTCACACATCAAGGGTTAGGAACTGAAATCAAAACTCTGGTGTATGGAGTTTGCATGCTTTCCCCACATCATGGTTTGACTTAAATAATCAGGTTCATAACTATTGGGAATGAATGACCAGCAGGACACATATGAAGAATGCATTTACAGAGTTGCAATGTCTTAAATGTAATCGATGGGAAATCTGACATGAAATAGATGGTGTTTCCTGAGATAGACACCTGGGCCAGTTCCCAGAAACCTTCTTAACGCTACGTCATTCATAACTTTTCACAACCTTAAGGTGTACCTTAACATTCCAACATGGTACCTAAAATGTCCTTTGTTAAGTATACTGTGCCTTTCAAGTCTTTGTAAGTCTTATCAGGAAAGGCAGCCCTGGTCTCCCTCACTCTGCCCAGCATAAATAGTTAGAAGATGGATGAATCACATCATGCGAAAGCAGGATAGAAACATCTGGCTAATTCTGATTCAGCTCAGGTGATGCTTGGGCAACTAGACCCTGGTATGCATTAAACATGAAGGTCCATCAAACATCCAGTGATCCTGAGGTTTCAGCATGTCATTAAGTCTGGGACACAATGGTATTGTTGACTGACCCCACCAGTAATGAGAAGTAGCCATTAAAATTGAACGTCCACATTCCTAGTCAGTATCGCTAATGCTTTCTGGCGGGATCCTCAACCTTTTTATATGTATACAAAGGCTGTAAGTAATTGCCATCTTCCCAAAATCTGCTTAATGTCATTTTAGACACTCTAAAGTGATATATGTTCTGCCTGTTCTGACCAATCAGATTCCAGAGTTCACCCGTCCTGTGGTATAATGTGACATGGGAACAGGGACCACGTTTGGGAAACACCTCTCTGTGTGACACTTGTCTGCAGAGGCTAAGAGCCAAATTGCTCCCAGGTAAAACTTAAAGATTCCATGTGTTCTCTCATGGAAATGCCCTTTGGGAAAGAGGAAATGGTTTTGGGATTAAGTCAGTGTAATTATGCATTACTTTATCCTTATTATGTAAAAAAGACGCGTCTGTGAATTTTTAAAGACTTATATAAGTGTCGTGTCAGACAATGTCATGCCACTGTCCTGTGGGAGGCGCAGTCAGCAGTGCATTCCTGCGGCTGGCAGCGGGACCGCAGGGTGAGCGCGGCTGTGGCAGCGGGAGCCGGCGATGGTGATGTAATGATGGGGTGGGAGAGGTACCGACACCGCAGTTTAACCACAGAGCAATGGTCAGAGGTCACGAGTGGCAGTCAAGAAGGGGGTAAAGCAAACTGCTCACTGTAGGTCACAGAATGAAAAGGAGGTGGAGGAGTCGAAAGAGGCAAGGAGACCAAATTCAAATAAACATGGGAGACACAAAGCTCGTGGGTTAAACTTCACACGTATCTTCATATGAAACTGCACCACCACGCCAGAACAAAAGTGGATCAGCAAGTCGTTTTGTTAGTTACTGGGAGGATTGTTCGCGGTCAAAACAGGGCACAGCCTTTTATTTATATGACCTGCGACATGTTTATAACTCATTAAATTTGGCCAGCAGATAGATCTTTTGCTTTTCTCAGAATCAAAAATGGTGTAACGTTACTCCGCTAATAAGTGCTGGAGATATTAGGCAAAAGTATATTGGTTAGAGATTGAATTTTCTGATGCAGAAATATAGAGATGCCAGCAAAAAGGTACTCATTCATGCAATTCCATTTGCTGAGTTTTTGTAAAGCATTCAACTTGATCGAGCTGCCCTGAGGAACATCCGGAGACTTCATGGGATCCTCCCAAAGTTGTTGGGCGTCATGGCCACCCTGGACACTGGTAGAGTGGAGGCAGAACCTGCTCAGTTTTTGCTCCAGTACTTTTTTCTCTTTTCCTGCACTTCCTTGTAATTTCCATGTTAGTGCCGGTGCTTGTGGTCAACCAGTCAGCAAGCTATGGTTGTAAGAGCCTCCCCAGTAGGATTCCAAAACTGCTTCCAAAGAATTGTATACAATCAGGCCATGTTCATGCAGTGTGAACGCGACAAAAATTCCAAGTTCCGAAAAAAGATTCTGGTCCCTGAAAAAAGTTCCAGTAGTGAGCAAGCGCTGATGACAAGGAGATCCAGCTGCCCCCCTAAAGTTTGATGTTGCTCAATAACACATCATTCACCTGTGGTATGTATACTTAAAGTCTTTTCCTGCTACCTGGGTGAGAGCGCCAATTACTGCAGACTCGTCATTAATGATGCTGGATCTCATTATTGCTCAGGTCAAGATGCTCAAAACTTTCCTTCTGTCATGTGCCATAAAGATAAAAAAGGATTCCAAGCCACATGAGCAATGATTGCCTGTTAGAGGTTTAGGGCTAAAGGAGGCCCAGTTAAGTCTCAAAGATCCTGCGTTCCAAGTGCCATATCACTAGGTCATTATGACCAAACAAGCCTGTCTAAGTCAGCAGCAGATCTCAGGAGTCCAATCAGAGAAAAATGAACCATGTTACTAAGCATATTAAATCAAACGATGGTGCT